CTGATAAGTAGGATGTATACTCTGTAGATGTGGAGTAGTGTGTTCTGTAGGGTTTATTTAATTAAGTTAAGGTTCTGGATCTCCTTGTTGGTTTTTGCCTCAATGATCTATCTAGAGCTGTTAGTGGGATATTTAGCTTTCCAACTATGATTATGTGAGAGTCAATGTCCTCTCTTAGTTTACTTAGTAGTTGTTTTATAAAACAAGGTTCTACTTCATTAGGTGCATATATGTTTAAGATGGATATTTCTTGCTGTTGGATTGAGCCTTTTATCATTACGTATCGTATTTCTTTGCCCTTTGATCTTTTGATAGTTTGAAGTTTGTTTTAGCTGATATCTGAATAGCCACTCCTGCTTACTTCTGTTTTCCATTTGCCTGAAATATCATTTTCTAGCCTAAATTTGAGCCTGTGGGTGTCTTTTATAGTGAGATCAATTTTCTGGAGGTAGTAAACTGTTGGACCATGCTTCTTTATCCAGTTTGTGACTATGTCTCTTCAGTGGCATATGTAGTACATTCAAATTCAAATCGATTATTGAAATGTGAGCGTCTACTCCTGTCATAAGGATCTTAGGGGGTTGCTTTGCTTTCTTTTATTTTACTTTGTATTTATATATGTGTGTATTTTCATTTTTGTGAGAGTTCTGTATGCTCTATTAACTCTGTGTTTGCCTGTACCTTTGTGATGTTTATTACAATTCTTTTCGTTTTCTGTGTTTAGCACCTCTTGAAGCATATGCTAAAGGCATGATCTGAAGGTAGAATATTCTTTTAGGGATTTGGTGTCTGGGAAGGATTTTAATTCTCCATCTCTGATGAAGTTGAGCTTATTGGGATAGGAAATTCTTGGCTGGAATTGCTTACCTTTAAAAACATTAAGGATTGGATTCCAGTACCTTCTGATTGGTAGTGTTTCTGAAGACAAGTCTGGAGTGGTTCTGATGAGTCTTCTGCAGTAGGTAGTCTGACATTTTGCTCTTGCTGCCTTTAGGATTTTTTTCTTTTATGCTTACTTTGTGGAGGTGGATTACTATGTGTCTTGGGTTTCTCATGTGATATCTTGCAGGGGTTCTTTAAATCTTTTGTGCTTGAATGGTAACCTTTCTGGCGAGATGTGGAAAGTTTTCTTGGATGACCACATGGAATGTTTTATCCATGGTGTTCTCTGTTTCCTTTTCTGATTCAGGGATGTCAATCAGGCATAGATTTGGCTTCTTGACATAGTCCCATACCTTTTGGAGTCTTTGCTCCTTCTTTTCTAGCCTTTTTTTTCCTTCTGTCTTTGACAGACTGGGTTAATTCCATATTTCGGTCTTCAAGCTCTGAGATTGTTTCCTCTTCCTATGATCCTACTTCCTATGCTTGTTACTGTGTTTTTAATTTCCAGGGTGAAGTTCATAATTTCCATTATTTCAGAATAAGCTTTTCTGAAATTGGCCAACTCTGTTCTTATTTTCTGTACTATCTCTGTGAATTTTGCTTCTAGTTTTTCTTAGTTTTCTCTGTTCATTTTAGCCATGCAATCTATTATTTCTGTGACTGTCATCTGGGGAAGGTCTTTCTGGGGTTTTTGCACTGTTTGTGCTCTGACAGCTTCTTTTTCGGGCACTTTTTTTTGTACTCTGGGAGTTGTCTGTATTTTTTGCTGCTATTTCTTCATTTGTGACAAGCCTCTTTTCTCTCTTTGTAATTCTTTCTGACTTAGTTGCTCTGAAGCTAGTCACTGACCTTCTGCTCTGAGGCCCCTTCTGTGGTTCAATATAGGTCTTAGTGAGAGAGAGAGAGAGAGAGAGAGAGAGAGAGAGAGAGAGAGAGAGAGCACTCACTTCTTTTTGCACCCTGTGGCAAGTTTCTCAACTGTAGCAATCGCTGCTGCTAGCAGTCTATGGAGAGTAAGTGGGAGGATAGATTTCCCCCATCTTCTGTCTGCAGTTTGTAGCCCAGAAACCTTCCCACTGAGAAAGCCTTTAGATGTCTTTCTTTTGCTCCCTCCCTGTTCAAGTCCACAATCTGCTCTTGAAAAAGAATGACTTCTTTGCAATGTGGTAGGGTGAAGGGGATCTGCCCTGTAGGCACCAGGGCTTGGAGGTGATTCTTCCTGAAATAGCTAGGAAGATGGACCAGGTGCTAGTGAGGTTCACTCTGCAGGTAGGCTTTCCCTGCCTAGGAGCTGGGCACTCGTCTCTGCTGACTGAAGCTACTGCATTCATAGCTGCTGACCCAGTGTGGGTTTTCCCCCTATTCTGCTAGGGATCTAGTTGCCTGCTGCTGTGCCCTCACCAGGACTCCTCCTATATGGTACCAATGACTCGTACATGACCGGGAAGGGATGAATGGATCCAAAGCATGTTAGGTTTAGGTATACTCACTCATTCTTGTTCGCTGGGCAGAGCTTGAGCTCCTATGAGAGCCTAGTGCATGGTAGATGATGAGGTGCCTGGATTCCTGTGTCTACCGTTGTTTTCTGGTTTCTATGAGAGACTTTTGCTGGGTGCAGGGTGCTTCACCTATCCAAAAATGGTTGGGGTGTCTTCATCTATTGACAGCATGGTCCCTATTCTCTGCCTTTACCCAGTGACACCAATGTGCTGCTCCATGGATGCCATCTTGGATCTTCCCACATTTCTTTTTTTTATTATAAATATGTGGAGTACAATTCAGGATTAGGTATATAAACGTGGATTATGCAGGTACCCTTGTTGTTGAGGTGTGTTCCTCCCTCCCTTGGCAGTTTCCCTCAACTGCCAATCCCAATCCCTCCTCCCCTGACAGTTTCCCACTACTGGCAATCTCTTTTTTATAGTAATATAATTGTTGAAGGTCTGCTTATGAGTGAGAACATATGGTACTCTGTTCTTTGTTTCTGTGATAGATTGCTGAGTATGATTGACTCTAAATCCATCCAAGTTGCTGCAAAGTCCTTATGTTTGTCCTTCTTTATAGCTGTATAATATTCCATTGAGTATGTGTACCACATTTTTTTATCCAGTTCAGCTTCGATGGGCAACATGGTTTGTTCCATGTTTTTGCTGGATCCTCCCACATTACTTACACATAATCTCATTTAATATTTGCAATAACCACATTATATAGTTGTTTTTTCTATTTTAAAGATGAAAAAAATGACATTCAAAGAGGTCATATTAATTTCTCATGGTTGGAAAATGGCTGATGTAGATCTTGATCACGGTTTTTCTAACTTCAAGTCTACTGTTCTTTTCATAGCCTCTTGCCTGGAGCAGGTAAAGAAGCAATTTGTCATTAATGAGGTGTGCTGATTTAGTCTATCACTTGTGTTTACAAATGCCTGTTTCACACAATTATTCATTTAATCATTCATTCAACAAACGACCACCAAAGACTGCTTCATGAAAGCTTATAGAAGTACCAAGATGAGCAGACATGGTTTGTTACCTCAAGTTACTCAAATATTAGGTGTTAACATGGCTGTGTAGGCTGCCATTGGTCACAAAGTAGGGCTGCTGAATCAGATTAAGAGCTCACAATAAACTTCTTAGAAGAAGCTATGTCTGCTAAATACTGAATGATGGGCATATTCAGCATGGTAATATGACAGATGAAAGCTGTTCCAAACAGAGATACAAGTGTGTGTGAAAACTGACATGAGAAGGGATGTGGCCAGACTGAGGAATCATGAGCAGATTAATACCACTGAAGTACAGAATGAGGGGAAACATCCAGCAAGATTACAACCTGACCACAAACTGCTCATTGTGTTGAAGATTCTGAATTTTACGGTACTGATAGGACTGTTGAAAAAGTTGTGAGCTGTGTGTAAAATAATCTGATTTCTGTTTTAGAATAATTTCTTTTGAAACAGCCTAAAGGCAGGATTGAAGGAAGGCAAGAATGGCACACTGTATTGTGGTGGCAAGCATTAAGAATAAGCCACCTGAGAAAGGGTGCACCTTCACCTAAGGCCAATACACAGAGGAAATCGAGGAGGAACAGGGACTTATTTAGAAGACTAACTAGTATCTTAAAAGGATGAGGACATTTCATCTATTGTGATAGGAGGGAAGGCAAACAATTATGAAGTTACTTCTGGAAGTCCTTTGCTAGTCTACTGAGATGTAATGGGGAAGATGATGGGAAGGGGACCTTTATGTGAAATACCCACCAAAGAAGCAGGCACTATTGAGAGGTCTACCAAGGATTCACTGGCCAGGAGGTAAAGGCGACTGGCAGCATGCTGGAAAGTGCAGGTATTTGGGCTGGTCAATTCAGGGCTTTCTCAGAGCCTACAGCTATTATAAATACACTTAAAATACACTAGAAATTTCTAAAAAGGTCTATAGTATTGCTTGCTTTGGTGAATAATATGAACACAAAATCTCTTTTGGAGTTCTTCCTATCAATTGCTTTTTTTCACAAATATAGGTGAACTTGAGAGCTTTGAATCAAACAGGGTCTGTTTTAAATTTCCAAGCCTCCATTTTCTTGTCTATAAAACTGTAAGAATGTTACCAGTCTAATTGGTGATGGTTAAAGGATAATTAAAATAAACCACTTGGCTGGGCCCAGTGGCTCATGCCCATAATCCTAACATTTTGGGAGGCTGTAGTAGGAGGATTGCTTGAGCCCAGGAGTTTGAGACCAGCCTAGGCAGTATAGTAAGACCTCTTCAAAAAAATTAGTTGAGTGTGGTGGCTTGCACTTGTGGTCCTAGTTACTCGGGAGGTGAGCCTGGAGGATCTCTTGAGCCTAGGTCGAGGATGCGATGAGTAGTGATGGTGCCGCTGCACCTCAGCCTGAGTGACAGAGTGAGATCCCAACTCAAAAAAAGTCACTTAGCATAATACTTGGTGAGCATTTGTTGTCTAATAAGTGACAGACACTATTAATGCCACTGCTACTAACAACCACCATCAGAGTATGCAGTACATTTTAGCAGTCCCTGGGGTTCCTCTGGAATTCCAAGTTCTATGAGAAATTGGAAATCACACAATTTAGCCATTTTTTTCTTCTAATCTCAGGTGACCATGCAACACTTGAAAAGCAAGATGACTCTAGATTTTGTAGCAAACGTGTGGCTCTCTTGGATCCAAGAAGACGGGGATATTGTCTGTGAGCTTCCTGTCGTAAAAGGAGGACAAGCCACTTTTCCATGTGTGTTCTTAATCCCCGGTATCATCTATTCTATGTACAAACTGTTTTTCAGTTGCTTGCATTTGTTTCTGAGCTATTTAGTTACAGAATATTTTTCCTACCACTTCTAAGAGAGTTGTTCTATCCAACTCTCTGCAGAAGTGACTTTTTCAGTGTCACAGCACGAGTCACTGGTAGATCTTGGATTAAATATAATCCCTAAATGGTTCTTGTGTCCCAGCTGCAGTCACAGAGGCTAAAGCTGTGAGAAATAAGAAATGTCATGGCTTTGTCTTGCCCAGCTGGCTCCTTCATGCCCTCACCTCGCTTTTGACTTATTCTCTCATCAAACCTTATATTATTTTAAACATTAAACATCATTTACAATAACATTGTCATCTTTGCCACTAAAATAGTAAGCACAAAATATCTTCCTATATTACATATAGAACAGTCTTTGAGAAAAATCTTTTATTTCTCTTTCTGAAAAAGCAATAAAACTTCTGGTCATTTGTTCATGGTGTAAAGATGCCCATTTATAATTAAAATTAATACTTGAAGGGTCAAAGATCTCTCAATTGATAGAAAGTCCCAAATGGAGGAATTCTCATATAATTTTTTTGCTATAGCCTGAAAACCTGTGGAGCTGGGTTTTACTTGTTTGAATTCCAAGGTAACGCTTTCTTCTTGTTTTCTCCCCCCTGTTGCTTTGCCAGTAGTGAGATACCAGGTAGATGTCTACACTGGGCAGTTGAAGCAAGCAGACACAGAGTCTGAGGTTTCCCTCTGTCTCTATGGGGAGAGGGGAGACTCTGGCCTTAGACGACTGTACAGATCTAACATGCCAGTAAGATTTCAAAAAGGACAGGTGAGTCTGTGTAAATCATGATCCCAGCTTCTTAGCAATCTCTCTGAGGATGGCCATATATGATTTAAAATTTAAAAGATGCTTGACTTTCTTCAAATTTTAGTTTTAAGGCATCTTTAGCACAACTTTTCCTGACCTGACTTCATAATGTGCTTTGTTTTAGAAGTTGTTCTTAAAAGAAAAATGGAACACACTAAGCCAATAATAAATGATAAAACAAAGAAAAAAGGTATTAAAAATTACTGATAGTGTAAGAAAAAAATGAGTTGGAAAGATAGGGAAAATATATATGAGGATGTGTTGACAAGTGCAAAGCATTATTTTAAAAGGTCATAGGAAGGCCATTATAGTATAATCCACACATTGGCCTTTCTTTAAACCTCTTGAATGGAGCCAACTATATTATTTTCACACTTATGCCCCTCATTATTTCCTTTTGTCCTTTACACTAGGTTAAGCCTTTCTGTACATTAGATGTCTGAGAAGTTACAGTGAGATATTTATCCACCTACATAATTTTTGTTATATTATTGTATATGGAAAGACAGTACTATTTAGAATTCTGGGATTAAGACCAAGGATTGTATAACCTACAAGTGTATTTTTTAAGAAAGAAGACTCCTTAAGCCACTTTGAAAGTGCTGTATCTCAGACTTTTTTTTTCAGTTTGTGAAGTATTTATGAAACATCAGAGATCATAAAGCTCACCTGTTCCTTTTATTTGTCACTGTATATTACACAAAGGCTTTCATCTGGATGACTAGGAAAGCTAGTTCTGCTTCGGGTGAGACAGAAACAAAATTATGCCTATTTTTGAGATTCCCAAGTATATTATTAATTTTGAGCAGAAATAAAATTTTAGATACTATATTATTATTATTATTATTATTACACTATGTGATCAGTGAAGCTGTCTCCTAAAGAACCCTGCTGGTTTTGCATTGGTCCCACACTCTTTCACCTTATCACTCAGTGATACATGGTGAAGGCTTCATCTCTCCAGCTGCCTGCTGGCTGGTTGCCAGCATGTGTCATTTTGCAGTAGTGTTGCATCATGTGATATTCCACGCTAAGATTTCTCAGATCATCTGTATGATGATCTTCTTCAGTTCATCACTGTGTTTGGCATTTACCAGAGAGTGGGGGAGCATGTTTTATGAACCGAGATTAAAATTGGGTAGGGGGTGGAATTGCAATTAGCATATAAAGAAGAGTAAGTCATGGGTTCAGTGGTATGTTTTGAAGTTTAGAATGAAAGACATAGTTGTTTTTCTTCCCTGGTTCACTTTAGATTTTACATTTTTCCCATTCATTTCTTCCGTGCATGGAATGTAATAGAAATGCCAAATAATTTCAAGAGTTTTGTACTCAAGAAACTGTGGTAACAGACTCAGAGTTTTGTTATCAGAATTTTTCATACCAGCCACTATTCACTTCATAAACTATTGATTGAGCTGGTTGTCATTTTTTCCTATAAGGTGTCCAGTAGTGTCATCAAAGGCAGCGACATACATAACAGACCCAGCTTAATTCTGTCTTCAAATCTAAAACTCCTTTAAGATACAAGAAAAATTCAGAAAGTTGATTCAGGCAATTCTTCTGGACCTCAAGTTGGGGCTTATCCTAAAGCAGACCATTAGATGAAGACTGGCGTACTGGTAATTTATCTGGGACATAATCTAGGTAAGCACCTGAGAAGTGAAAGAGTGGGGACAGTGAGGCAAGGAAGGAAAATAGCCAATACAGGGACCCTAGTGAGCTGGTCACTGCTGAGGCTCCTTTTTGCTAGGGACCTTCAGAGAAACCTGTGGAACATACCTCAGAAGCATCCCACAGGGGAAGCCCTCAGGCAGAGAAGCAGGAGACACAGGAGACTGAGATAGAAAGCTGTCAACATACCTAAACTCTTTACCAAAGCAGTAGGTGAACCCAGAAATAGACCCAGAAGACAGGGAAATCAGCATCAGTCACATCTGCTATAACAGGTGATGTGTGTCACGAAATGTCCCTTGTAAAGGCACACTAGGGATGTGGGAAGTGACAATGAGATTATCCAGGAACACCAAGGAGAAGCACAAACAATCATCATCTAGTTTACAGAAACATCATTATTGGACTAGCAATGGGTTTGGTCTGGCTTAAATAAGAGATTTCTAACACCATGTGGAACCCAAGGTTGAGACCCAGGTAGTATATCTTCAAATATCAAATTAAAACTCAACTGGTCACAATGTAGGAGGCTGTGTTAATAGTGATACAATACAAGCAATACTGGATTCACAATTTTAATGTAGAGTAACAGTAGCTAACCGCTAACTGTCATTTCTGGGAATTTGTGAGACATTAAAATTCACAGACCCTTTCCTCAAATAATTTTAGGATGGTTATTCTCAACAGCAATCTATGAGGAAGTAATATGCAAAGGAGTTCTTTTTATTCCAATCAGTATAGCATAGACTTCGGGTCCTACATCTCTCCAGAAATGTCAATGTATTTTTTGACATAACAAACTACTTTTATTTAGGAATGAGGATTCCAGGATGCTTTTCCACAACAAACTCAGAGTGCTCTATTTTTATTTACAGAGGAAAAATCAAGAGAGGGAATTACTGAAGAACGAAGGGTAGGAGAGAGAGAAAGTTGGTCCAGCAAGTCTCAGAAGTAGATCAGCATTCATGGAAAAGAAATGTGCTGAACATTAGTTCTCATAGTTGTCAATCTGACCACCTAATAACTACTCCCCAGGGCCAGGGGTCTAACAAGAGAAAAGCCACAGACTGGGAGCCTTTGTGTTAAGGTTGGTTTGTTTGTTGCACTGGACACTACTACAAATTGAGAAAATAAAACTACAAAAGAGAGAGAGAGAGAAAGCCAGAAATATATTTTTAATGGATAAAAAAATAATGTGCTTATTTTTCATCTTTTGTTGCCCCTTTTGATGCTAACGGTAGTAGCATTATCTCTTTTGGTGTATTGTGCTGCTGCTGGCGGTCTTTGGGCTACTATTATTGCCTGCATTTGTCAGTGCCGGGCTCTAGTAATTTCTGTTGGGCTTTTCTCTGTCTCATGCATTAGATTGATACATTTCAAGTGGAGGCAGTGTCGCTTGGAAAACTGCAGAAGGTGCTGTTGCACTGTGAGGCCAGTGACAGATCACAGTACTGGTACTGTGAAAAGGTCATAGTCAGAGAACCTGGTACCTCCTCTGAGTCCATCTTCACCTGTGAAAGGTAATGCTGGTCTCTGTAATACTTAAAAGAGCATTGCACAGTGGATGATGGTGTGTGTGTGTGTGTGTGTGTGTGTGTGTGTGTGTGTGTGTGTGTGTGTGTGTGTGTTTAGGTCATGGATTTGTTTTATCTACTCAGGATTTCACATCATACATCATGCACTGATTGCCTAAGTGCATAATCTTTTGCTAAACATTGTAAGCAAGTCCTATCTTACAATATTTTATTATTACAATGTTATGCATGCTCCAAAATGATCGAAAGTTCAAACTCAATACTATTACCTGTGACAATATTGTTTAAATGTTTTTTATATTACCAAAATTGTAGTGTTACAATACTTTTATAAGGGAATTAAATGAGGAGAATTTTACAGAGAAGAATTTTCAGAACAGAATGCAAGAAAGACAAAGATTAAATTCTAGATTAGTTGGGCTTTCCCTTGAGCCCCATAATCAACTCCCTCCATGCCTGACCTGACCCTACAGCTGTTAGGTTTGAGCCCAAGGTCTCACAGTTACTCCCTTCTTGAAACACCTCCTTGCTTAAGAAAGTAGCTCTTATTTTCAGGTTAAACACCTCCTTGCTTAAGAAAGTAGCTCTTATTTTCCCAGGAAGAAACCTGGCTCTCTAGATTTTTGCTGATCACAGCTCTCTCAAGAAACTCTTAGCTTTGGTTAGATGGGTATTTACACATTTTGTTGCTTGGTTTGTCGATCACAGGCAGAAGATGAACCCCAGATTCTTGAATGAGACTGAACACAATTAGGTTTCCATGTCAGACCCCAACCTATTGTGCACATGAGAGTAAGAAACTTTGGACTTCATTTCGAAGTTTTGAATCTTCAATGTTGGAGCCTACTTTGTAGTTTTTTTTTTTTCTAAACAGATAATCAACAGGAAGTGAGACAGTAAAGTACAGGCAAAACAGGGACAATGGGAAATTCAAGGGTGTAGATTTGGAGATGCCAAGACAATTACAACTGGAAGTACTAAGCAAAAAGTGGAGCGAAAGATAATGAGGCAATTCAACTAAAAATACTGAAGGCATGCCACTAAAAACCGCAGACAGCAAAGATGGTTGGAGATGACTACGCATTACATATGAAAAGAGCAGTGAGATCCATAGGGAGCTCTCCCCCTTTTTTGCTTTTTTAGTCATTGCATTCACTCAATCCCCTGTTCAGAGTGTCTGTGTAATTCATCCCTTCTTTTTCCTTACTACTGCTCTGCTCTTATCGATGCCTTTGTTTCATCAAAATTAGCTCATTGCACTAGTGTAATTGTCGTTCGTTCGAGTTTTTCTTCTCCAGTCTACCTGCCCACTACTTCCACACTAGTCTTCCTATGATAGTCATTAGCATTATTTTGACTTTACCTTATCGCTTCTTCTCTCAGTCTTTCTTTGTTTCATTTAGAATTCTTTAGTATTTTATTGTGCAGTTTTGCTCTAAACATTTTCAGAAAAAAAGTGGGGGAAAATACTGTTTTAAAAGCTGTGTTTTTTAAAATTTATTTTTAATTTTTATTTCAATAGCTTTGGGGGGGTACAAGTAGTTTTTTGTTTTGGGCTTTATGTGTATCCACCACCCCTACCTGTGCAACATGGGCTTGATCAATGATTTTTTGGTACCTCTGCCACTCCCCCACCTTCTGACTCTCCAGTGTCCATTGTATCATTCTCTGTGTCTTTGCATATCCTTAGTTTACCTCCCACTTATAAGTGAGAACATGTGGTGTTCCTGAGTTAGTTCAAATAGATGTTGTTCTCCAATTCTATCCAAGTTACTGAAAAAGACATTATTTCATTCTAAAAGCTGTATTTTAATTACATCACCCCAGTTTAAAAATCTTCAACAATCCCCATCGCCTACTAAAAAAGCAGCAAAACAAAACAAACAAAAAAACTTGGTGATCTTTCCATAGAAGGCTTCTTACCATCTGATCCAGTTTCCCCCCTCCAACTTGTTTTCACAACTATCCTCTTGCAGGATCTTACTGCAATTAGACCACCTATCATTGCCTGGACAAGTTCTGCTCCATTTTGCTTCTGTCCCTCAGAATGTGCTATTCTTCACTCACTAGGCCTCTTCTTACTCTACTCTCACGGTTACCATCCTGTCTATCTTTCAAGTTTCCATTTAGGTTTGTCCTGTAGCATGACTTCATTGGCCCAACCAGAAACAATGTCTCTGTTCTCTCAGTGTTTACTCAGAACTCAGCATGCACAGGCAGCCCCATCTGATGAGTGAAGGGAATTTGGGCATCACTTCCCAGCCTGCTCCTATCCACAGCACACTGGCATCTCAGGGAGCAGATGACAGCTTTATTTTATTCTGGACATCAGAAGTGCTAGGAGCTGTTTCATGCAGGGATTTCTTCTTATGTTCTGATGGACTTCGTGACATTAATCTGTCGATTCATCTTAAATATGAAATCTCCTAGGAGACAACTTAGATGTGTTCATGGTCATGTTCATGCCTCCACATCGATGCCATGCCACGACCCCACCACTGTGACCCGCTGCCTCCACCCATCACCTCCCACACCACCTAACTCTTGTTTGGGCTATGCCATCGTGGCCTCCTCTGGAAGGAAGAGACATAAGTGGTAGCTTAATTAGTTTTCATTAGTTGCATCTGAAAAAAAATTTAATTACAAAATATATTAAGTAATTAGATATAATATGACAAATATGTCCCATCCCGAATGGTACCAAATGCTGATATTTTATACCCTGCACATTGTAGATCCTAGAGAAATGGTAGCCAGTGCTCATTTATACAATATCCTGATGAAGATAGTAAGTTGTAAAAGTCATTCCTTCCTACTGTTTAGATATAAAGAGATGAGGCAGGCGTTGCTTCTTAAAGAAGCCGCAGAGTGTGGCTCTAGGAACAGAACATGAACATGGCAGGTTTCTTTCCAATACAGAAGAAAACAAAAAACGGCTCTGAAGTCACTTAAAGTTGCTTCTGTGATCCCAGAGCCTTTTCTCTTCATGTGAAGGGTCAAGGACTGTGTCCTTCAAGGCATATGGAGTCTGGAAGGCTCTGAGGGAAAAGAGAGTCGCGGTCACATGCAGGAGCCGGTTGGACAGTCTCTCGCGGTCCTTGTGGGGAAGCTGAGCAGGGAGCGATGCTGCATGTTTGTTGTGGGCAGTCAGTTTGGAGGTGCAGGTGGCAGAAATGCTCAGGTGGACAAATCAGAGGGGAAAAGGAAAGAAAATCTTGAGCATACTTCTCAGAGCTTCCTCAGAAAATAATAATTTACAGCACAGCGGATTAGGGCAGAGAGAAAGACCACCAAGTGCTGGTTCCTTTCATGAGCTGGGGTGATGCTCAGGTGAGACACAAAGCAGAGCTGCAGGAGGAGGTGTCTGCACATCACAGAGGCTTCCTGCCAGCTCTGGCTTCATCCTTTTCTTTCCCCTCTTTAGTTGAACACCCACGTCCTTGTGTTTTATTTTATTTCTATGCCTGAAGAGATTATATTTCTGCCTTTTGCATTTAATAAAGATGTACACCACAGGATTTCTATGATTTGTACTGAAGCTTTGGCTATTTGAGGTTTGTGGCAAGCAAAATTTGTATTGAATAAGGCAGATATTCAGTTGAACTGTCGTAAATATTATTATTACAATTTGTATTAGCTTTCTGTAGCTGCTGTAACAAATTACCACAAACTTGGTAGCATTAAGCAACTGAAATTTGTTCTCCCACAGTTCTGGATTTTGGAAGTCATTGGTTTCAAAATTCAAGAGTCAGCAGAGCGATGCTTTCTCTGAAGGAGCCAGCAAACAATCCTTCCTTGCTTCTTCCCAAGTCTGGTGGTTGCTGACAGTCCTTGACATTCCTTAGCTTGTGGCTGCATCACTCTAGTCTCTTAATCTGTTGTCACATGGCTGTCTTCCCTTTGTGTGTCTGTGTGCTTCTTTTCTTCTTATAAGGACACTAGTCATTGGACGAGGTCCAATCTACTTCAGTAGGGTCTCATCCTAACTAATTACTCCTTCAAATATTTTATTTCCAAATCAGGCCACATTCAGAATTTCTAGGTAGATAAGTTTTGGGGGAATGTTATTTAATTCAGTATAACCTTTGAGTGGACCCCATAACTTACTATATACTGCAAGATTTGTTCGCATCAAGTTAGGGAATTGCTAGATTTTTCTGTGTTACCACACTTTTAGTATTGCATAGGTGTATGTGTATGTGTGAGCCTTGACATGAAGGTGAGTCATTAAAAATAAGTTAGTATCTATCTTTTAATAGAAATAATGTCATTGATGATGTACATTTGTTAACCCGCTTGGTCTAGGAGAGCCTGGAGACAGGGAGTGCCAAGAGCTTCTAATGTTGACTTCCATCACTCTTGACTGTTTTGGGTAATGAATGACATTGACATGAGCTTGGGGTAGCAAGCTATTTGAAATAAAGGTGTTACCTAGGACAATCCTAAATACAAGGAGAATTTATAGACCAGAAATTGCAAAGTTAAATGCAAATAACTGATATTTTATTGATTGATTGAGTTGGGGTTTCACTCCGTCCACCAGGCTGGAGTGCAGTGGTACACTCATGGCCATCCCAGCATTGACCTGCTGGGTGCCCTACCACGCCCAGCTAATTTTTTATTTTTTATTGTAGAGACAAGGTCTCCCCAAGTTGCCCGGGTTGGTCTTGAATCCGTGGGCTCAGGCAATTCATTCGCCTCGGCCTCCCAAAGTGCTGGAAATAACTGATATATATATTTTTTATTTATTTTTTTATTTTTTTATTTGGAGTCTCACTGTCACCCAGCCTCGACCTGCTGGGCTCCGGTGATCCTTCTGCCTCAGCCTTCCAAATAGCCATAATTACAGGCATGCGCTACCACGCCCGGCTGATATTTTGATTTATTGTAGAGATGAGGTCTCGCTGCCCAGGCGGGTCTCGAACCCACGGGCTCAGGCAATCCACTCACCTCAGCCTCCCAAAGGCATGGGATTACAGTCTGAG